TCTTGAGTGCCAGGCACGGGTTTCAAAAGTGGGGGGAAGTAGGTTACATTACTACATGGTCCCGAATAGCAGAGAATTAGTGATCCCCTATGATCTATTGAGCCCTCAACACTAGCCATGAGAGGACTACCCAACAAGTTACTAATGAAGTTTAGCTTTAACGAACCCTGAGGAGGTGTATACCATCGATGCAGACTCAAGGACTGCTCAACAAGCTACCATCAAAGTTTGACTTCAATGAATCAAAAGAAGTGGATACCATCTATGCATAGCTCTTGGATTAAGGACTTTCATTTGAGCACATCATCAAGATTTAACATGATGTCGACTTTGGAAATCCCTACACAATCTCTATTTATTGACACCTACAAGAGCAATGTACCAAGTATCCTATTCTTAATGGATTCCACATCAATCACCTCTCCTTCAAAGCTTTTTTGTTTCTCTATTTGCATATCTCCCACAAAATATTAGCTCTCTAAGTTTCCAAATAGCTTTCCCCACTTTTGGTAGAATAGGATGATTGTGGTGATCCAAAATGTTCATTCATCTCCTTGTGAGATTCATACGCATGACCATTTTGTTGAAAGTCCACATCCAAATGTGATGTGCAAAAGGACAGTTAAGAAAAAGATGGTTCCCATTTTCCTCATCATTATTATACATAAGACAGATATTAAACGTAACATGCCCTCTTTTCCTTAATTGATCCACAATAAGTACATTATCCGAGCATAAACCCCAGAAGACACGTATTTTGTTAGGGATTGGCAATTTTCACATTTTCGCTCTTTGACTATCATACCATCTTAATCTATCATTAAAAAGAAACATATAAAGCGATTTAACTAAAAAAAATCCCATCTGATTCACGCTTCCAAATAATTTCATCTTCAACCTCAGTGAACATATGAACATCCTTCAAGGATAGAAACAACGCGCTAAATTGATTGATAAGACCATTACACAAATATCCCTATTAGTCTTAAATCCAGACCTCGAAATGGCTTCCACCTTGATCATGCAATTATCACAAATCCTATATAACCCTTAATGCAACATCACCCACCCTGATTCGAAGATAATGGTAGTCTCCTTTCCTGCCATCTGTATCCAATTGCTCATAAAATTTCTTTGCAAAACATAATACCTCTCTGAATATATATATTATCGCCCTTCCTCTCCTTCCATCCCCAATCAACATTAAATTTTTATCCAAACCCCATATTTTTGCCACCATCACTTCCTTTCATTGTTGATTGCCTTCTTGACAATTTCACTGCCGGCATTTTGTCATGATAGACTTATTCATGATTTTCGACTTTCTAACTCTAAGACCCCCATCTGATTTCAGTGTGCATACGTTGTTGCAAACTCACAAGATGAAATTTCTTTGCATTGTCATCCCCTCCCCTCAAGAAAATTCTCATCAATTGTTCAAGTCTATGGCCATCTCATTTGCTAAAAAAACAATAAAGACATTGATGTATATTAGCATATTGGAAAGAATTGACATAATCAAAGTCATTCTTCCCTCTAAAGAAAGGTTTTTCGGCTTTCATAAGTCCAACTTGATTAAAACAGTGTAGCACAAAATCCCAAATTTCGGGTAGCCTAGAATCAGAGATTGGCATCCCCAAATATTTGATAGAAATTTTTTTGAATTTGCATTGTAAAAGCAAAGCCAAACTCTCCATTGAACTCTGATTGACAGCAATCCCCACCATAACTATCTTGTCCATGTTTATTTTGAGACCCAAAATTGTTTACAACATCTCAAAAACCTCCTCAACTGGAAAATCTACTAGCCTCTGCGTTGCAAAAGATTAAGCTATCATCTGTGTGCTTAAGGTGGGAGACTACAAGACCATCCTAAGCAGCTGAAAAGCCTTTAATAAGACTTCCCTACTCCACTCTATGCAATATAATACTAGAAACCTCCTCCATCAGTAAGAATAAAAAAGGGGACAATGGGTCACTTTATCTTACTTATCTTCTTGCCTAAAAAAAGCCTTTGGGTTGCCATTAATTAGAATTGGGAAGTGCATACTAGATGTCAATTTTCTCCATCTAGTCCCAAAGCCATCACTCTCACAACTCTTTTTCAATGTCCAACTTGCATTGAATACTAGGCTTATTGCAATATTTATTGAGTGGACATATTCTTGAGCAACCAAAATGCTAACCATAATAGGTATAAGCTAATTAAGTACCACTTATCACCTTATGAAGCACCATTTCAACCTCAAGGCCAAGATTTTTGCAATGATCTTGTACAAACTCCTAACAAGACTAATTGCAAATATTCCATGTTTACTTTCTTGGGGATTAGCGCTATGTAAGTCAAACTAATATTCTTACTACTCGCCTTCCCCCCTCCCCCTCTTATAAAATTCCTCCACCATTAAAATCACATCATACTTCACCATATTCCAAAATCGTTGTAAAGAAAAAGAAGGAACCAATGGAAAGCCATTCGGCGACCAGCCAACCCAAAAATGACCCCCTTAATTTCTTCCTCAGGGACATCAAAATCCAAACATCCAGAAGAGCAACTGAATCTTTCAAAAGAGTTTTAAAAGGTATACTGAATATCTACCTTCATAATTGAGCTAGAATTGAGGGTCTCCTTCAAGTGATTCACAATGGCCTCCCTCCCAACCACCTCCCCTTCTTGAACACCTTGTATTTGTACACCATCAATGTTGTTCACTCTTCTTCTAGTATTAGTAATAGCATCAATTGCTGAGCATGGGTTTTCTCCATACCCTTAAAGGCTGTTTTGAAATAAAGAAAATTGTTTTATTACCTTTTTTTCTTAAATGATCAAAATATTATATTCTTACTTGGCCCTTTTTATTCCATGTTTTCTAAAGTTCTTCCATTCATTCTTCCCAACCGTTGAAGTAATTAGGGATATACATTGAGGTAGGGTTTGGAGGGTTGTGGTGTGATGCACCTCTCATTTTCTTTCAACATCCTAGTTCCCTCACTCTCTCAATAAGCATTTAAAGAGTCCAATGGTGCATTTATAAACTCTCAAAGAACACTCTAATTATCTATTGTGAAGTCATCTTACTGCATCATCTCTCTATTACTTTCTCTCTATATTGCTAATAATTCCTTCGTACTTTGGATTTTTCAGTAAGGTATTGACATGTTTTTAATACTCTAAAGATGTGGATTTATTACATATTTTCTACAAGCCCTAATTGAAGCATATTGATGAGTTCATTTTATATTTTGTATGTACTTATTTTGGTATGATTCATGACTAGGATAAAGTATGAAATATAGGATAACAGATTGGGGATTTGATTTGATGATTTGAAGAGCTATTAGTTATAGATATATGCTTATGTTTCTTATGTAATTGGATTATATGCATGTGAAATGTTTGATAATTTATTCAAGTAAGCTCCAAAAGAAGATTTTAATCCAAATCTGATTTCACATTAATCCATATTAATAGCCACATTAAATCAATCATAACATTTAGTATCAGAGCTTAGGTTGGATGGCACCAACAAGAAGCATACTTTCGTAATTGGTAAAAATTGAAAAGCTCGATGGATTTAATTCTTATTTTATTTGTCTTAGACGTCATAATATGGAATTGTTGTATGTGATTAATGAAGAGACATAGTGAACCCAATGATGACTCAATTCTTAAAGAGAGGAAAAAATATTTGAAGTAGAAAAATGATAAATTTTCATGTCGAGATGATATCCTATATTGTTTAAGTGATAGGTTACACAAAGTATTTGAAAAGTATGCTAATGCTAAGGACTTATGGGTTGCCATAAAAAAGAGGCACACCGATGATAATTATGTTGTTAAATGTGAGCGATATGAAAGATACAAGATGTGGAAGATGGAATATGATCAATCGATTCTAGAGTATTTGGATGGATATGAATATTATGGCTAATCAACTTACCGGTTATAATGAGCCCATGACAAACAAATTATGAAAATTATAGAAAATCTTCCAAGTTCTTGGAAAATTTTGAGAAAGAACTTACGACATAATGAACCAATCCATATCTTGGATGACCTTAGAGGACATTTAAGGATGTAAGAGAATAACAAAATTTATATTATGGAGGGTGTATAAATTCCTTGGGTAATTAAAAAAAGAAAACACCCCTCACACCTTCGATGACCCCTTTTGTTTGACTTCCACGTGGGATATTTCGTTTTAAACCCCATGTGCAACGTATTGTACTCCTTTAGAAGTATATTGTTCATTTACTCCTGCAAATTAAACCTCACCTAAGATTAATTTAAGGATCTCAAATTTTTGAGATATAACATCTTCAACCCATAGATTAACCTCAATAAAAAAACTTTCTAATTGCGCCCTTTACACACTTGAAGAAAAAATATTGTCTCAAGATTGAATAGAGACCCTCCAATTTTTAGATGGTGAGATCTAAGTATTAGAAAACTCATATTTCAAATTTTAAAATTTGAAAATAATCATATAGTGATTATTAAGTAGTTCCCAAAATTTTAAATTAAAAAATAAATCCTTCCAAGTAGGTCTTTTTACCGAGGGAGCAAACTTATAATATACTCCCGCAGGAGTATATCCGCTTCTTTGTTATTATTGCCCGACTTGAAAGCAACTTTAATATTAAAAAAACTAAAAAGAAAAAATAAAGATAAAAATAAAAATAAAAATAAAAGGGTGCACCCTATTATTTTTTTAAAAAATAACATCAAATGGTAATAAAAGATACATACAAAAAGTGCCTACATATAAATAAATAAATAATCTAAAATTTAAGAAAGTAATTTAAAAACGTATTATACTACCTAAATTTCTACATACATAGTCAACGATCTAGAATCTTATGTAATCTTGCCAAAATCTCTCTCTCTCTCTCTCTGTTCCAATGCGGCGCTCTCATGCCAACAATTCATGTTTTTCAGAGCAAACATCACCCCCAAGCATACCACTTGGTTGCATTAGTTCTAATAGTAAAAGCTTGCATCTATTGAACACTTCATGAAATATTACATTCTCTCTTAAAATGCCCATAAGTTTGCTCTTATAAACAAAAAGAGCCCAAATATACATAAACCTCAGAAGAAAAAAGACACAGAAAACCTACTAGAGCTACACCATCTTTCTTATTCTACACTCATAGCTAACCACTTCACCATTGTATCAGAGCAGATGTTCTAAAGCCAAAGGGACTTCACCATGGTATCAGAGCAGATGTTCTAAAGCCAAAGGGCCCCTGCCTTTCTGAGCATGGGCACAAGCTTCCCACTGAGGTGAAGAGACATAACCTTATCAGTGGGGCCCACGAACTGGCCCCCAATAAAAGTGGCCGGAATCGGAGGGCCCCGGCCTACCAAATTCGCCAACGCTCTCTCTATCTCTCTCCCGTTAGGAAGCTCATCGATCTCATGCACCGTGGGGTGGACACCGAGATCATGGAAGAAGGTCTGGATGGCATGGCTCATGGGGCATGTGCTCTTGCTAAACACCACCACTGCATTTTGTGAGGCCATCCTCTTCACATTGTCCATCTCTCACAAAATAGAAAGAGACCGACCCACCTGCTTTCTTCTTCTTATCTCTTAATGAAAGAGAGTATTTGTGTCTGTTCCTTGCTTTCTCCTCACTAAAAGAGAGCAGTTCAGTTGTGGTTGTGATCCCCTGTTTATCCTCTCCCTTGAATGGAGGAAGTACTCTTCTTTATTCTCTTGTTTCTTCTGAGAAAACCAAACTTCTCACACTTAAATAGAAAGAAAGAAGGAGAAGAGAAAGAAAATTGTAGCCTATAGATAAAGTCTCACTTGATAATATACCAGACAGATCAGGAAATGGAACAGGACTAGATTGGCTAAAATAATGCAAACCTTTTAGACAAATTAGAAGAGAAACAAGGCAAAATGAAGACAAATTTGATCAAAATCCAGAAAAATGTGTGCCTTAAAGACTCAAATCCAAACAAAACTTGGTGGTAAGGATTGCCAAATGACTAGTATTGATTTGAAATTTGGAACAGGTAGTGGGGAAGATGACAATGCTCGAAAACAGGATTAGAAGGAGAGATTCAGCAAGCTTGTTACAATATTCAGCTAGGTCTGCAAAACTATCGATCGACTGTTACATATGAGAATTACACAGATGAAGGCCTGAACCCAAAAAGATATGAAAGGAAAGAGTGAGATTCGATCGAATGACTCGGCAGTAAGTGAAGCAGAAGCGACTTAACCAGAGACTGAGTTGCAAAAAATGCAGCTACTCCAGATGATTTATCCCCTAAGTATCTCAAATTCTAAAAAGAAAGCTCGCAAAATTCAGAAAAAAATTAAAAATTTGAAATTTGATGCGAAAACTCTTGCTAAAACAAAACCCAGGTGAAAGTTCTTCCTAAAATATGTAAATTTTAGCCAAAATCTTCCAGTTAGGCTCTGCAAAAAGGTGAGTAGTAGATTCAGATGAAGAAAAGAATTGTGTCAAGGGAGAAGACTGTGTGGGATATATGAAAGTGCAGAAGGATTTGGTTTGATGGTTTGACTGTGAAAGGAGATGGTGTATTTATAAGCTGGCTAAAGTGAAAAAGAGAGAATATTTTAATTGGATATAGTTCCAGTTGGCATTCGCCCTCGATTTTCTCCTAGATAGCGAAAGTACCCTTCATCTTACGGAAAGGACAAAATATTCGCCGAAGCACACGTGCAAAAGACATGGTTCGGGTGTGACTACGATAAGCCCTTTTGGAAGTATCCAGAATTCTCTCTATTTTTTTATTTTTAAAGTTCATGGAATTTTTGGCCTATTTTTAAGGTGAAGAATATCCTCCGTACGCCCTCTTTAATTTTTTTTTTTTTTAGTAATTTATGCACCGTCTGGTCAACCTGTTTTTTCTTTTTATTTTTCAAAATTGTTCATCTTCAAACCGAATTTTAAATTTTTTTTCCTTTTAATTTTTTAGTTAGTAGGGTACTGCCTTAAAGTTTGAGGCACCGCTCTACTAACCAAAAAAAAAAAATTGGATCAAAATTTCTATGACAATTTTGGAAACTTTAAGGCACCACTCTACTAACTAAAAAAAAAAATTGGACCAAGATTTCTATGACAATTTTGGAAAATAAAAATAAAGTGAGTTGACCTAGGAACATTTCGAATTTAAAAAAACCATTTAGGGTCCGTACATAAATTACTATTTCTTATGGGTTTTATTAACATTTAATTGACAAGGTCGGAGAACGACTCATTTTTGGAGTATCAGAATTCACAAGAGCTGCTTAGACGTTCAAATTTTCCCTGCCTTTTGTTAATTAGAACCAAAATATTTGTTTCAAAATTTCTCAGAAACACGGTTGGCTAGAATTTTTATTTTTATTTACCATAAGTATAACAGAAAGAGTTTTTCCTTTTCATCATATGCTGGCAAGGAGATATTAAAAGAAATAAATATATATTTTTTTAGGAATTTCCTTTTTAGGATATATCCATCTGGTGAGCATCTGATGAGCTGGAGAAATGAGTATGGAGTTTATCCAATACGAGCATCTTTTTTCCCTCCTTCAATACAAAATTAGGAGGAAAAGTGCACACAAAAAAATGAGTAAAAGAGATAAGAAAGAAGAAGCGGCAATTTTTTAGGCACCTTAATAAGTAAGGGCAAGTTTTTTTTTTCAGATAAAGAAGACAACTTTGGGGTGGCATTGGGCCGGGCAACCCATCCCGAGACCCAAAAAAACTAGGGCCTAGGCTACAGAATATGGCCCAATCGGGCTAGGGCTAGGCGACCGAGTGCCCAGCTTGAAGCAGGGCCATGACAGGCCGGCCCCAGCCGGACGATTATTTCCATAATCGACCATAGATTTCTGTGCTCATAAGGATCATATATTAACTCTTTCTTGAAATAAACATGCCAGAATAATTGCCATTCCCTTTTTCTATTAGGACGGTCTAAGTTATGTCGGTGCAATTTAGGATTGCTACACCATTAAATTTTACTGAGGTGAATTGCTTGATAGTGTTTTTTTTTTTGCCTTTTCTTCTTTATTCTTTTTCTTTTACCTTTTTCCCTATCATTTTTTTCATATGTTTTTCTTTTAGACAGGGTTGTATATGCAGATAGTGATCTCAAACCATGCATCTTCTTCACTTTCGTTCTTCTATTCTTTTGGGTCCTTCAAACTTCATGTTAGGATCTTCCCACCACGTAATCACATGCAAATTTATAGAATAATGAAGACTGATAACATGTGTGATCTAGATGTATTTGTAAAGATAATTAATTGTATGTTTTCCGTATGTAAATATTGGTTCATTTTTCTCAAACTAAACAAAGAGATAAGAAGAAAACAAATGTGACTAAGAATGCATAAGAGTCTCTTTTTTTAACGTAAGTATGCATAAGTATCATCATCATCATTCAAGTCTTATCTCAATTATTTCAGATCGGCTACGCAACTTTGGTTCTGCCATCAATATTCATGAAGCCGGCAGCCAACCTAACATAACCCTCCTCCTTTCTCCAAGCTTGGGACCAGCATGACCTGCTTAGAACCGGCGATAACGGAGTTAGATATGCATACGTATATTTCATAAAAAAAGGAAAAAAAAATAAAAAATAAAAATAAATCTCACACAGTAGAGAAAGGAAGAAAATAAAGTAGTAGCAAGTGGAAGAGGAATGTAAACTTTTGATAAAGAGGAATGCGTGCTCGTATCGTAGCATCACACAAACACAAGGGGGTGGTGAGTACACATGTGGTACAAATTGGTGGTATTCCTCACTGCTCAACAAAAGCTAACGCTTTTTTATTTCTTTTGCTCCTTTCATGCTTTTTGGATACAAAGGAATAATGCCCATTTTATTCGAATTAAGGCATTTGTCACAAAAGCAATAATATATTGACAAAATTATTAAAAACACGTTCAAATTTTATTTAAGTTAAAAAAATATCTATGTGTCTGCCGGCTCATTACGTATGTACACCTCTAAAATTTATTTTAAAGATAGATTTTAGATCAAAATTTTTAGAGATTCATGATTTAGGCTTTGGTGATCATAAAAATAAATAAATAAGATCAAAAATAGAGGAAGGAAGAAGAAAGGAAGTGGGGGAACAGAGGATGATAGGGTGACAAAGTCCACCCTCACGTCCCTTGCATACTTGCCATCTGCGCTAAGGCATCAGCCTCTGCATTTCTTTCTCTGTTGATGTACCAGAAACGAACCTCACGATCGTTTAAAACATATAAAATCTCGTTCATAATCTGTTTAAAGTCCCATGGTGTTGAATAAAAGAGGAGTTCTACCCTTAACAACAATTTGTTTTTTTGAACTTTTTTGCATCATCATAATCCCTTCAACGCACATCTTAAAGATGGACGCTCAATTTTTCATAGCTAGATCTTAAATAATGAATTTTATTTTGACAATACTCAATAGTCTCAAACAAATTTGACTTGAGCCCTTTATCAAAACCAGGCTCTAAAGGCCCACATTCATATCTTACAGTGTATACCTAAATTCATCCAAAAAAAGTCAAATTTGGAAAAGTTAATATCCTAATAACTTTATCAAATTTTTAATTGGGTCACACTAACTTGCCCTCAAATGGTAAAGATATGATACCCGATTGCTTATTCTTTTATCCCCATGCTTAATCCTCCATATATCTCAATCTCAAATCTTATTTGCCACAAGAAGGAGCATAAGTTACTTTAATCAGTGCAATAAGATTTAACTTTTATAGAAAAGTAGGGCAATAAGATTAACTTGTTGACCATTTAAAGTCCTTTCAAAGAGTTGACCCACGTGAGCTTAATCACGATTATTCTTTTTAATTATTAAATTTCAAGTTAGGGGATCTCTAAGACCCAAGTAAACTAAGCTTTTAGGAAATAACCCGATTGTTAGAGAAATTAGAAATACCTTTCTTGTGAACTAGGCATTCATGGTGAACAAAAAGCTTTCTTTTTTCCAATTGCAACTCCATTGTTTTGTTTTTTAAAGTTTAATTTTTGTTCTTTTTATTTTTTAGGCATATAGAAATATTTTGGATGAAATAGTATAAAAAGCAAGGAGATGGATATTTTTGGATAATGAATACTTAGAATCTAATGATATCGCTCGCATGGAAGATCGTCTAGGAATCGAACATCGGTCATGCTACTTGCAAGCTCTATGCCTCCCATAAACAAGCCATATCTTAAAAGACGTGTCATGTATTGATATTGCAATGTGTCAAATCAACACCGTGAATGGTTCAAAGTATTGCAACCTTATTTCTATGAATAAAAGGTTGCAGCCTTAACATGAAAGTTTGGGTGACATTTTTTAGCGGAAGCGAGGTTAACACAAATAGGCACCTATGCACCTATAGTTAGGACTAGCGACGGTCAGGCAGCCTAGGCTTAAAAATTAGGGGCATGGGTCACAAAATATAGCCTAAAGGCCAAGACGGGCCATGCCTAGAAAAGGACCCCTTTGACCTTGTTCGGGCACGGGCTCCTGCCCCTGGTCCAGCTCATTGCCAACCCTATTACGCACGTATTAGCCTATGTACATATCCATTCATGTTTTATTTTATTGAGATATATGTATTTCTTCATATCAATTTATTTATTTCTTCTTATCAATTTATTTATTTCATTTTTATTCTTGTCGATTAATTTCCTTTTGAAAAGGACGTTGAGGAGATGACTTCATGATAAAGCCGGTTGAGAGATATAAGACGACCGAGGAAATACCTTTTGTCTTATCATTTCTAAAACAAAAGAATATTGGCAGAAAGGAATATGATTTTGTAGACAAAAGAAAGGTGCATAGCCTTTAGAGAGAGGTCCACTTCTCTCTAGAAAATGAACATACACCATGCAAAAATGAAAGGGTCGATGTGGACAGTCTGAAGTCCATAACACTTGAGAAGCTTTCTTCCAAATAGATTGTCAAAAATAATACAAGCAACGAAAATAAAATGAGAGAAAAAGGAAAACTGGCTTTTGGGGAGGGCAGAACTGTGAGTTTGAAGGATGCGCCTCTTGGCAAACTGGGCGGTCACTGTGCAACCCAATTTTAGCACTCGATTCATTGTACAAAGGTAAATGTTCATATAAGGGCGAGGTGCTAAACAATCAAATTAGAACGTATTTTAATAATTTCACTACAAGATGCTGTTTTGATGCTCAAATATCTCATCCCCACCCATCTCAAGATAAATGAGCATGAGAACAAAAAAAAAAAAAAGGATTTCATGTTTTGAAAATAGTACATCTTGATGCTTTTTTGGACTGACAATTTTCAA